AGGTGGCGTATGATATATCACGGTCTTCTGGCAAGTGTTTTGTCTTGGTGTTGTTTTAGCCGTAGAGTGCAATTCGCTGCCAGATTATCAAGAGTCGGTGTTGCCTTTATAATACTAAGTATTGATGTTTGTCTTGCCCAGGTGGCTATTATATCTACATCGAGACGTCTTCTGGCTCATCCGGTAGTGTCGCCCGTGTGATCAGTCCTCTCGTTACTACAACAAGTGCCAAGTGTGTCCAGTTCTGGTACCACATGTACGGTAGGGACGTCAACAGGCTCCGGGTGTACATGAAGACTGGCTCATCGCTTGGGAATCCTGTGTGGACTCGGACAGGAACACAGGGAAATCAGTGGAGGTTTGGGCAGGTAGACATTCCAGCAGGGACATCATTCAATGTAAGTAGAGATTAGTTCCGATATCTGCGCGACTATGAGCTTGTGTGACCAGCTGTATATATATATATATATATATTTGTGTGTGTGTGTTTGTGTGTGTGTTTAGTAATCATTTTCCTACAATCGGCATCAGGTTGAATGTTGTAAATTGATGAACCCTTGTCCTGTTGGCATTTGTTTCACACAATATCACATCTTTATCAGGTCATATACCCCTGACTTTTTAGGCCCTGCCTTGACATAGTTACTTCCACATTCGTTGCGTTTTGCTGCGATGTGATGCGTTGCACGAGAAATACCCCCGGCGTACCTACTTCGGGTGCTACATATGGATAATACTGTATGTGCAACCCAACAATTGTTTGGCGCCACAGGACTAGGTTTTTAATGTAGTAATGGCCAGATCTAGAATACCATTAATGTCCATGTTAATTCGCCCATAGATTGTGTTTGAAGCAAGTCGGGGATCTGGATATTATGGAGACATCTCGCTGGATGACATCTCTATTGTGGACAATAGCTGCCGACCTGGTAGGTTTGATATCATATAAAGGAAGAAACCTTTTAAAAAGCAGTGTTCTTGGAAAGGTAACGCATGGTAAGGGTTAACTCATGATCAAACAGCACATTTCGTTTTGAAAATGTACATTTATTTCATTACTTTTTTGTACACTCAGTGATACTTCTGTGACAAGTCCTTACATTTAGGACTTACATTCTGTATGATCCACACTTTTCAGCACAAACTACACGTAGAGGTACTTGTACATATACTCGTACTTCTATAAGGCAAAACAACTTAATATGATGAAATCATTTTCCAGCTTATAACTTTGCAATATTTTACCAAATCTGCCAGTCTGCATGGCTACTAGGAGTACAGAGTGACTCAGAGTCTTCTTTTAAATCCAACATCAACAGTATTACATGCTGAAACAGCATATGTTTTTAAACACTGCAGTAATTTTGAACTCAAACAGCACACTTATTTAGACATTATTTTTTTATCATTCTTTTCCCTCACACACTTCCCTTATGGCGTTTCTTCTGAGAATATACGCCTAGGGGTGTCTTTCATTATTTTCTTACATAGGCCACAGCAAGTAAATTTTATGGATGACATCCTCCATGTCCTCCGCAAACTCCAAATGTAATGCGAGAGGGCGAAAAAAACAAGACCGGCCAAAAAACAAGATTCCTATATTTTCAAATTTTAACATCATAAACCCTGTTAAACAAGAAATGATACCTATATTGTGGCTATTTATATACCTATAAATGATAACTATCACAACATCCATTTGTCACTGAAACAACTTTGAAAAAGAAAAGTTTTTAATCATTGGACAAATGGTTAAAGGGTTTTGATTTAGTGGGAAACAAAATTTCTTTTTTTTTTCAAAATCAGGCGAAAATCAATGCGCGCGCTGATGTCATCCATAAAAATTACTTGCTGTGGTCATATCTTTAAAAACATGAAAAGGGAGGTATTGTTACCTTCGGCAAGGCGTTTATGTTTTCGGTAATTATAATGTTCGCGTTTACATGTATGCGCGCATGTGTGTGTGCGCTCCATAATATGCGTGTGTGTGTGTGTGTGTGTGTGTGTGCGTGCGTGCGCGTGAAGGCTTAATATAAGTGGATTTTCAGCATTTTCACCACGTTTTTGCACGTAGACAGCACACAGATGCACGTACGACGGATTGTGACCGAGGCTTTGTGTATGTGTGTGTGTGTGTGTGTGTGCGCGTGTGTGCGCGCGCGTGCGTAAAGGGTTAAATGGATTTTCAAAATGGAAGTTTCCACTTCAGACCCATTTGACTGTGACTTTGAGCTGGGCTTGTGTGGATGGAGACAGGCCTACGACGACAACTTTGACTGGAGCCGACGCAGTGGATCGACTCCTTCCACCAGCACCGGGCCGAGTGCTGACCACACCACTGGAGGTAAGTTTTATTATATTCACATTGGTCAAAGGCGGGGTAATATTACTAATAGCGAATTGTCGACATGTCTGAAAAGACATTGAAACAGGGGAAAAACAATCTTGTAGTTGACTCTTTACAGCAGACTAATTTTCCCACGTGCGAGCTGTCCGATATTCATGTATTGCATTTCTGGAGCGAATGATCGTCATAAAGTCAAGTCGGCTTAAGAGTTTTACCTGTATGCAGAAGCAAAAGGAAAGTTTTAGCGCACCCGACTAGTACTCTGTGACCTTTTCACTTTTCCTTGTCACGTTCTGTGAATAACAGAAGGGGGAATGATATAAATAGGGGTGTGGGAAGAGACGTCGGGAATGACACCTATACATGCCTATAGGTGGCGTATGATATATCACGGTCTTCTGGCAAGTGTTTTGTCTTGGTGTTGTTTTAGCCGTAGAGTGCAATTCGCTGCCAGATTATCAAGAGTCGGTGTTGCCTTTATAATACTAAGTATTGATGTTTGTCTTGCCCAGGTGGCTATTATATCTACATCGAGACGTCTTCTGGCTCATCCGGTAGTGTCGCCCGTGTGATCAGTCCTCTCGTTACTACAACAAGTGCCAAGTGTGTCCAGTTCTGGTACCACATGTACGGTAGGGACGTCAACAGGCTCCGGGTGTACATCAAGACTGGCTCATCGCTTGGGAATCCTGTGTGGACTCGGACAGGAACACAGGGAAATCAGTGGAGGTTTGGGCAGGTAGACATTCCAGCAGGGACATCATTCAATGTAAGTAGAGATTAGTTCCGATATCTGCGCGACTATGAGCTTGTGTGACCAGCTGTATATATATATATATATATATTTGTGTGTGTGTGTTTGTGTGTGTGTTTAGTAATCATTTTCCTACAATCGGCATCAGGTTGAATGTTGTAAATTGATGAACCCTTGTCCTGTTGGCATTTGTTTCACACAATATCACATCTTTATCAGGTCATATACCCCTGACTTTTTAGGCCCTGCCTTGACATAGTTACTTCCACATTCGTTGCGTTTTGCTGCGATGTGATGCGTTGCACGAGAAATACCCCCGGCGTACCTACTTCGGGTGCTACATATGGATAATACTGTATGTGCAACCCAACAATTGTTTGGCGCCACAGGACTAGGCTTTTAAGAGTAATGACCAGAAAACTAAATGTGCGTTAATTTGCCCATAGATTGTGTTTGAAGCAAGACGAGGATCTGGACCGTTTGGTGACATCTCGCTGGATGACATCTCTATTGTGGACAATAGCTGCTCACCTGGTAGGTTTGATATCATATAAAGGAAGAAACCTTTTAAAAAGCAGTGTTCTTGGAAAGGTAACGCATGGTAAGGGTTAACTCATGATCAAACAGCACACTTCTTTTTGAAAATGTACATTTATTTCATTACTTTTTTGTACAATCTCAGTGACACTTCTGTGACCAAGTCCTTACATTTAGGACTTACATTCTGTATGATCCAAAGTTATCAGCACAAACTGCTTGTAGATGTACTTAAGTCTTGTACATGTACTTCTATAAGGCAAAACGACTTAATATAATGACATCATTTTCCAGCTTATAACTTTGCAATCTTGTACAAAAACTGCCACTCTGGCCACTAGAAGTACAGACTCGGAGTCAATATCACCAGTACTTCATGCTGAAACAGCATATGTTTTTAAACACTGCAGTTCTTGTTAACTCAAACAGCACAGTCACGTATTTAGACATTATAACCTCCATAAAAATGGAGGTATTGTTTTGGCGTGTCTGTCTGTCTGTGTGTCTGTGTGTCTGTGTTTCCGCACATTTGTTGTCAGCATAACTTCATAACGCCTTTATGGGTTGTGATGATATTTGGTGTGCTGATAAGTCTTAGGAAGACCAAGGTCAAATGTGTGCCTACTGGTGGATGACCTTGGTACTGCAGCAGAACTTCCGGTGTTTGTATATTTTGTCCTGAACATGCTATGGTCTTGACATGTTGGTGACAGATATCCTTTCCTGTCAGGAATAAGTGATGTGGGGTTGGTCCCCCTAGCAGCTTGTTCTGGAACTACAGGGGACTTTCTGGCGAAATCTTTAAAAGACAATAAGTCCAGATAGAAAACGTATTTTCATCATTTTTGGTGTGTAGGTAGCTGAGAGTTGTACATAATTAAATGAAAATTATGCAAATGAGGACTTCATTTGCATAATTAAGAAGAAAAGTCTATAATTACAGTGTTTTATATGATAGTTCTTTTATACATGTAATGTATTTAATCTGTGGCAGGCGGAACATTAACAGATACCAATTATGTAAATGATGGCCTAATATGCATAATTAATGTGAAAATTCTGTAACTTCTTATTGGTGAATGATGGGAATTTTATACCTCGTGACATGTGTAAGTTACTTAAATGTTAACACCACTATGCATATATTATGTTAATGTAGAGGTTATTTGCATAATCAATGAGGACATGTTGAAATGAAGTATGACAAAGAAAGCCCATATTTCATGGAGGTATGAGATCTCGGAACTCTTGTTTGTATTATTCTTTTTCACATGCCCCTTATGGCGTTTCGTTTGAGAATATACACCTAGGGGTGTCTTTTCATAATTTTCTTGATACATATCTTTAGAAATGTGATAAGGGAGGCACTGTTACCTTCGGCAAGGCGTTTTCGGTAGCGTTCGCGTGTTTATATATGTATAGATACATGTATGCGTGCTTGTGTGTGCATGTGTGTGTGTGTGTGTGTGTGTGTGTGTGTGTGTGCGCGTGCCTGTGTTCGAAGGCTTAAATGGATTTTCAAAATGGAAGATTCCACTTCAGGCACATTTAACTGTGACTTTGAGCTGGGCTTGTGTGGATGGAGACAGGCTCACGACGACAACTTTGACTGGAGCCGACACAGTGGATCAACTCCTTCTGACGACACCGGGCCGAGTGCTGACCACACCACTGGAAGTAAGTTTTACAATGTGGTCAAATTTGGGATAATACCGAATTTTCTGAAAAAGGTACTGGAACAGGGAAAACAATTTATAGTTGACTCTTTACAGCAGACTAATTTTCCCACGTGCGAGCTGTCCGATATTCATGTATTGCATTTCTGGAGCGAATGATCGTCATAAAGTCAAGTCGGCTTAAGAGTTTTACCTGTATGCAGAAGCAAAAGGAAAGTTTTAGCGCACCCGACTAGTACTCTGTGACCTTTTCACTTTTCCTTGTCACGTTCTGTGAATAACAGAAGGGGGATGATATAAATAGGGGTGTGGGAAGAGACGTCGGGAATGACACCTATACATGCCTATAGGTGGCGTATGATATATCACGGTCTTCTGGCAAGTGTTTGTCTTGGTGTTGTTTTAGCCGTAGATTGCAATTCGCTGCCAGATTATCAAGAGTCGGTGTTGCCTTTATAATACTAAGTATTGATGTTTGTCTTGCCCAGGTGGCTATTATATCTACATCGAGACGTCTTCTGGCTCATCCGGTAGTGTCGCCCGTGTGATCAGTCCTCTCGTTACTACAACAAGTGCCAAGTGTGTCCAGTTCTGGTACCACATGTACGGTAGGGACGTCAACAGGCTCAAGGTGTACATCAAGACTGGCTCATCGCTTGGGAATCCTGTGTGGACTCGGACAGGAACACAGGGAAATCAGTGGAGGTTTGGGCAGGTAGACATTCCAGCAGGGACATCATTCAATGTAAGTAAAGATTGGTTCCTGTCTGCGTGACTATGAGCCTGTGTGCCCATCTGTATGTGCTTTCTGTATGGTTGTTGGCACGTGTTTGTTTGTGTGTGGATATATGTTCAGTAATCATTTTTTCACCATCGGTATCCGCTTGAATGTTGTAAAATGATTAAGAGTAATGACAGGAATAAGTAATGTCCATGCAAATTGATATTTTGCCGCCATAGATTGTGTTTGAAGCAAGCCGGGGATCTGGAAATTATGGAGACATTTCGCTGGATGACATCTCTATTGTGGACAGAGTGGTAACACATGGTAGGATTTACTCATGATCGAATAGCACAAATATTTAGGCAATATTTGTTTTATTCCTTTTCCTCCCACACTTTCCTAATGGCGTTTCTTCTGAGAATATACACCCAGGGGTGTCTTTTCATATTTTCTTCATACATATCTTGAAAAACATCAAAACAGTGGTATTGTTACCTTCGCCAAGAAGTTTATGTTTTCGGTAGCGTTCGTGACAGATAGATATCTATTAAAGGGATATATATATATAGAAAGATATATATGTGTGGTCCCGAAGTATGTGTGTGTGTGTGTGTGTGTGTGCGCGCGTGCCATACGCGTGTGCGTGTGTGCACGCGCACGTGAAGGCTTAAATGGATTTTAAAAATGGAAGTTTCCATTTCAGACCCATTTAACTGTGACTTTGAGCTGGGCTTGTGTGGATGGAGACAGGCTCACGACGACAACTTTGACTGGAGCCGACACAGTGGATCGACTCCTTCTGACGACACCGGGCCGAGTGCTGACCACACCACTGGAAGTAAGTATTATTCACAATCACAATGGTCAAAGGCGGGGTAATAGCAAATTGTCTGACAAGGTACTGGAACAGGAACAACAAATCTTGTAGTTCACTCTTTACAGCAGACTGGTCTTCCCACGTGCGAGCTGTCAAATGTTAAAAATGTATGACATTTCTGTAGTCTGATCATGAAGATCATGAAAGGATATAAATTGGGCATGGGAATATATATATATATATATATATATATATATATATATATATATATATATATATAGTATAGTAGTA